TGCTCCATAGGGCTTCCAAGGCTGTAATCTTCACAGGAGCAGAATGTCAGCTTTTTTCTCCGGTGGAGTTGTTGGTGGGTTCAAACAGCCGATCTTTCAGTTAGCAGCCAGGTGCTTAACCACTGCGTCACCAGGGCTCCTTGAAATAAATTCTACCTCAATAAATTTGACCCCAAAAATCATTAAATCTTTTAAAATTGTTTTAAAATACAGAAGGGTTCTTAAAAAAAAAAAAAAAAAAAGGAAAAGGTGTGCTCTTTCCTTCAAGTGAAAAGGTCTCTACATTGTCAACTGGCTTACTTTTTATAACATATTAGCTATAAGTAAGGAACTGTTTTCAAATTCCAATCTCATATGACTCAAACATAAGCACATGCTGTTACTATTAAATCCCCCAAAAGTTTCAGCCTTAGGAAAAAAATTTAAAAATCAAAGTTCAGTGACATTTTCTATGGGTATACAAACACTAGTCTGGAGAAGCTGAAATCAGTTACTAACCATTAGGAAAAGAAGGAAGGAATAGAAGAAGAAAGAAGGAAGGAAGGAGAAAACAGACATGCAGAATACACTCCCACACTAGCAACAGATTACGATTAAGACGATTTCATTTGAATAAACTGGGATTTGCTCAAGTAAGTTTTGACAGTTTTTAGAATTGTTATGGATTGAACTGAGTCCCCCAAAAACACATGTTGTAAATCCTAATCTCTATGTGTGTGATTATAATCCCATTTGGGAATGGGCTGTCTTTGTTATGTTAATGAGACAGGATTACTGTAGAGTGTATTTTGAGTCAATCTCTTTTGAGATATAAAAGAGATTAAATGGAAGCTAGCAAGCAGAGATGGGGGAAGAGAGATGCCAAGCCACATGAAGATCACCCAGGAGCAGAGGCTCAGAAGAGACAAAGACCTTCCTCCAGAGCCAACAGAGAGAGAAAGCCTTCCCATAGAGCCGCCACCCTGAATTCAGACTTCTAGCCTCCTAAACCATGAGAAAATAAAATTGTTTGTTAAAGCCACTCACTTCTGGCATTTGTTATAGCAGCACTAGATAACTAAGACAATAATGGTGTTTTGCGATATTTATGTGACTGACATGAGGCTTCAAAAATATAGCAATCATACCTACAAATGCTAAGGAAAAGAACATAGAATAAAGGTATGGAAGAATTGCTTCTGTGAGAAATAGTTTTAGAAATAGATGTGTTGATTTACACATGAAATTTCTTAGCAAGCTCATTCATGAAAAGAACTTATGAGCTGCCCTAAATTGTGAGGAATCTGGTAACTGTTATATCCCTACTTGAGAAGCCAACATTGGAGGTTACTTGAGGTGATTAGTTGGCCTCGCTATGCTTTATCATCCAAGGAGTGGTTACACAGAATCAAGAAGAAAATTATCAATTCCCAAGCTTCACTCTGCCCTGTTGCTGTTAGCCACCATCAATTCATGGTGATCCTGAGCACAACAGAACAAAGCTATGCCCAGTCCTGTGCCATCCCCGTGATCAGCTGCATATGGGACAACTGTAATCCACAGGGTTTTCACTGGCTGATTTTTGGAAGTAGATCGCCAGGCCTTTCTTCCTAGTCTGTCTTAGTCTGGAACCTCCACTGAAACTTTTTCAGCATCATAGCAACCCACAAGCCTCCAATGACAGACAGATGGTGGCTGTGCATGAGGTGCACTGGCCAAGAATAGAACCCAGGTCTCCCACACGAAGGTGAGAATTCTACCCCTGAACCACCACGGCCCTCACAGCATGACATATCAGGCCCTTCCTAACGTGGCCCCATCCTTTCTCTCCAGCTTTGTCAAGATTAAAAAACCAAACCCATTGCCGTTGAGTCAATTCTGATTCACAGTGACCCTAGAGGCTACAGTAGAACTGCCCCATAGGGTTTTCTTAGCTGTAATCTGTACCGAAGCAGACTGTCAGATCTTTCTCCTGCAGAGCTGCTGGTGGGTTTGAACTGTCAGGCCTTTCAGTTAGCAGCTGAGCACTGAACCGCTGCACCAGAGCTCCACTGCACCACCAAGGCTCCTTTGTCAAGATTACTGGGCACTGAATACACAGACACACAACCGCTTAAAAGAATGAACTAAATTCACTCCCCAAAACAATCGTTCTTCAGTCCCACCTTGCTGAAAATACTGCTTTGATAAGGCAGCAAAACTGCGACACGTTGTAAGTAAAGATCTAGAAGAATCACCTCACTCCTGCCTTACCGTCATTTTAAATGAGATTCCCACCAATCCTTCAACTTCCAAAATAGGCTGCACAGAGTCCTCAGTCAATATTCTTTCCCAGGAACCCAAAATTTTCACCAAAGTAAATCATCTTCCATTTTTCTTTTAACATTAGCATTTGATTCACAATAAGGGACAAACAGAATATCGTCTTTCCCAATCTAATCCATATACTGCTTAACTTAATAGAACAGCAAAGATATTGTCTCATTTCAGAACAGATGAGATTTAGACATTTTAAAAACTGAAAGTCTTCTCAACTGCCACTCATGATTTAGCATTATACCACTACTGTCCTCTATACTTCCCATTCAATTCTATCAAGCCAAAAATTAGAAAGAATGCAACGCCATTACAGACAAGCATAACAAACTGAAAAACTGCAACAATTCCCATGAGATTTTTTCATTACATTATGCCCACATTAAGTTGAAAAAAAAAACTGTATAAATGAGAAAGCAGCTGAAGGGCAAAAATCAAACTGCTGGCTTTATGAGATGCAGGCCTGATGTCTTTCAGATAAAGTATTTGTAGGTGCCACAGTCAATCAAGATTTCAATAGAAACCGCAAGTGAAAGCGTTCATGCATAAAAGGCAAGTGTAATAATTATGATGTGCAGACAAGAGAATGGAAAATATCCAAGCCTGCTTTTAATTTTATGTATCAAGTGCAGCCTTGACCTAGACGTTCTATAATGCTTCATCACACTTACTGTGCTATTTTATCATTTTAATTATTTAGCAGAATTCAATTAATTTGGCAGGCAACTGGTCAATGGAAGCAAATCCTCCACTATCTTGTAAGATCTTTTCCCTGTTTCACGTCTCAAAATGATGCTGCAAAACAGTTTGTAGTAAACACGAAATTGAGTTTAAAGTTCCGGTTCAGCTTTCAAATTTATTAACTTCTTACTGATTAAATCAATTTTAAAGAGAGTTTACATCACAAGTTTTAGTGTGTTGCTCAACACTGTAAAAATTTACACTGGCTTAATTTTAAAAGTTCTCTGGTGGTGAAGTTAGTAGGACATGGTGAAATAATTATTACTGAAAAGACGAGAGTTCAGCATACAGTTTTAGCCCAAAGTTCATCACCCATGTATGTAAGAATTAAGGTAATCATTGCTGTTGTAATCTATTATCCAGAACCAGGGCTCATCCGCCTTCACATTCATGAAAATAGTCCCGAACAAAGTTCAAAATTACAATTACATCACTATTATTATTATAATGTATTACCATTATAAAAATACTGGTGCTTTATAGTTATCAGCCTGCCAACAATGCTTCTTACATATGTGACACTGTAACTCTTCCCTCTAATACTCTTCCATAATTTGGAGGAAAGTAACTTTTAGATGCCATTAACAATTTCTGCATATCGAATGGGAGGACAAAGCTGCTCAGCTAATAGAAGGAAAGAGGCCCCTGGGCAGTGCAAATCTACTTCCCTGAAGATTATAGCCAAGGAAACCCTATGGAGCACTTCTACTTTGTAGCATGTAGGGTTACCATGAATTGGAGTTGACTCGACAGCAACGGGCTTTGGGTTTTAGTAATAGAAGGCAACCTAACATACCAACCAAACTTAGATCAGCACCTAACTACAAGGCCACTGCTCACAGAGGATTCGAACCTGGACACGTGCAGAATGTCTTGCTCTTTAGTTGTCACTCAAATGAAACTGCACATTCCCCAGAAATTAAGTCACCACCAGCCTACTTCTTCCTTGGGAATGATGGCTAGCAAAACAGAAGATGAGGTCGACAAGCACTGAGCCTGATTCTCCTCCCATGTTTAAGCAGATGGCGCAAGGCTGCCTGGTGCATCTTTAAGAAAGAGGAGGAAGGAGGAAGACACAGCAGGTCTAGTCTGGAACAAAGTGAAACTATCAACAGAACTTCCAGAAGAATCCTTCAATTTAGTCCTTCTGAAGATAGCAAAAACCAAACCAAACCCATTGTCGTCAAGTCCTTTCCAACTCATAGCGACCCTTTAGGACAGAGTAGAACTGTCCCACAGGGTTTCCAAGGCTCTAATCTTTACGGAAGCAGACTGCCACATCTTTCTCCCACAGAGTGGCTGGTGGTTCAGATTACTGACCTTTCGGTTAGCAACCGAGCATTTAACCACTGCACCACCAGGGCTCCCTCTCTGAAGATGGACAAAGCCAAAAAAAATTAAAGTTCCAATAGAGCATTTAATTTTGCCAGTCCAAGAAGGCAAGCAATCATCTGTGCCCAGTTATCCAGTGACCATCCCCTTCCTATTTCCAAAAGAGCACCGCCAAGCCCAGGGGGCACAGAGGAACTGGGAGCCAGCAGGTGATTTAACACCTCTCTTTAAGGAAATGACACAGCAACATGAAAAGTAGCCCTAGAAAGCCTGAGACTCCGCAATCATACTCTTAGGAATTCATCTGAAGGCCGCAACTTACAAGAAGGGAAAAGATTACGGGGACAATGATGCTGACTACATTACACAAAAGAGAAAAAACCTGACAACAACCGAAACAGGTCAAGCAATCCCTTGATGAAATACTAAGCAGCCAACTAAAATAACCATGAAGATTAGGCAACAAGGGAAAACATTCACAAATTAAAGCGAAAAAATTAAAATTGTTCAATTAGAGAAACATTTAAAAGTCAATAGCTTGAAAAGACAAAAATTAACAGACTGTCTACACTGTGAAATGCCTCAAAAAACAAAGAACCTATCTAGATAAGAAACACTGAAAGCACGTTTACCTTGAGCTAGTCTTTCAAGCCGTTTTCCATGCTCCGGAGGTATAGCATACCTAAAATTGTAAACATACATAAAAATTTTAGGTTGATAATTTTTCAGCTATTATCCTAAGGACATCTATTCCTAAATAATGTCACATAAGAAAATTTCCAACTACAAACTCCACTTAGATGAACAAAGTAGAAATTAGATAAACAATCACAGAGTCATATCCTTTAGACATGACAGAAGGTAAAAAAAAAAAAAAAAAGCTTTAGAAATTGCCTATTTCAGTGTCCCAGCTCACGCTCCCAACCACATTTTACAGATGAGAGAACAAAGGCCCAAGGTCAGTAAACCATTCTAGCCAGGAGAGAGTAGCTAGCCATAGTGAAGAGACTAGAACCTTTCTTCCCCAATATCATGGTATCCAAGTCTCCTGGGATATTTCTGGTATATGGTTTTTTGTTTTTTTTTTATTTTGTCATTTGTTAGTTTTGGCTATTATTTTTTAAGAACAGGGGGGTTTTGTTTGTTTTAACATTTAAGATGTTTTTATTGACAAGTAAAACAGAATGCAAAGTTATTATACCATCATTTATTTCTCCACTGTAATTTTCACAGAGTTTAAATAATTATCAGCCTGAAACAGGCAGTGTTTATTTATTCCATGATTATGTGACTTAAACTCTTGATTTTAGGTAAAAATTTTCACCCTTGAAGAACAGAAACAATTATTTCTAGTTCCTGATGTTTATAAATGTAATTGGAATTTTTTTACTGTAAACTTCCTAACGAATTTTAAAACTGTTGTTGTTGTTGTTACGTGCCATCAAGTCAATTCTGACTCATAGTGACCCTATGTACAACAGAACAAAACAATGCCCTGTCCTGCGCCATCCTTACAATCGTTGTTATGCTTGAGCCTATTGTTGCAGCCGCTGTGTTAATCCATCTTGTTGAGGGTCTTCCTCTTTTTCAATGACCCTCTACCCTACCAAGCATGATGTCCTTCTCCAGGGACTGGTCCCTCCTAATAACATGTCCAAAGTACGTGAGATGAAGTCTTGCCATCCTCGCTTCCAAGGAGCACTCTGGCTGTACTTCTTCCAAGACAGACTTGCTCGTTCTTCTGCCAGTCCATGGTACATTCAGTATTCTTTGCCAACACCGTAATTCAAAGGCATCAATTCTTCTTCAGTCTTCCATATTCATTCTTCAGCTTTCACATGCATTTAAGGCAACTGAAAACACCATGGCTTGGGTCAGGCGCACCTAAGTCCTTAAAGTGACATCTTTGCTTTCAAATGCTTTAAAGCAGTCTTTTGCAGCAGATTTGCCCAATGCAATGCGTCTTTTGATTTCTTGACTGCTGCTTCCGTGGGCATTGATTGTGAATCCAAGTAAAATGAAATCCTTGACAACTTCAATCTTTTCTCTGTTTTTCATGACATTGCTTATTGGTTCAGTTGTGAGGATTTTTGTTTTTGTTGAGGTGTAATCCATACTGAAGGCTGTAGTCTTCAATTTTGAAACTATGATCTCATAATATTCTATACGAGCACTAAATTTTATGGTCATTCTTAATGAGGATATATAAGGATCTGGATAAAATTTAAGCGATCATTTTCATGCTTTAAGTAAAAACAATGTTATTTTTAAAGAACTGCATTTACTATATTTGCAAGTTCAGTATATATTAAGTAGAAGTTACTTTTTACTAAAATAACTTATCTAATTTTACTTAACATCACACTTGGTTCCATTTAGTGGCACTGATAACATATGCAAAACTTAATTGGAGCCGATGTAACTAGGCAATTCACTAAAAGAAAATTCAACCGTATATCCATTCCTTAAAGCACTGTTAATGAAATTATTCCAACTGAATTGAGGAGATTGAATTTTAGCATAACTAAATGATAGTCATCCAATGCATATTTATGGCCACTTCTTACCAGTTTTTGAGCCCTAGTTTACATCACCAAATATATCCAGAAAAAAAATATAGCATATGTATATATATGCCACATGGTCAAGAGGGTCACCTCATAATACACCCACATGCATGTACCTGGAGTACATACGCACACGTGCACGCATGCACCCACGCACATAGTAGGTACATGCCTGCCCACAGAGAGTTGGACGTGGATGGAGATATTTAAATATATGGATTTGTTTTTTTCTGAAAACTTAGCATTAAAGTTAACATTCGTCTAAAGTTCAACCATTTATTCACAGAAAACTCAAGTCTGTTCATCTGCAAAAGGGAAGAGGGAAAGGTAAGCCAACATGGTTCTACGCCAACTCTGACCCTCATTTACTCCTTTTAGGATCTGAACCATCCAGGTTCAACCCTCTCACAGCTCCCCACCCTGATGGCCCTCAGTTAATCCTGTGTTATGCTAAATAACACTTACATCATATGCTAACATCTTTTATAGCATAGGGCAGATGAATCGCAGTTCACACAGCTAAGCAGTATGTACGAGAGGAAGGATGCAGGGAGAAGAACGTGAACGTGGGAAATGGGAAAATGGGAAGAAATGGTAAGTAGTGATGTAAGCAGACATCTTATTTCCTAAGTACAGGGTCAGTCCAGCAGACTCAGAGTCAGTTGCTGCCAGCCTCAACTTCCTGACCCAATTAAATGTCTACTTCCATCAAAGTCTTCTCTCTCCCAGGACTCCACACTTTTAGCATGGTCTCCCCGTTTTGCCTTGCCTTCTCTTCATTCTCCACAGGCGTTTCCTAGCGCTGTAATGCACAGAAAATCCATGGGCTGTGAAGGACAAACGGTGCTCAAGGTAGATGGGTGGGCTTAGGGCTCCTGATTTCTACTTAAAAGGCATGTGAGAAAAAGGGAAAATCTAATTTCCCAATAAAATTGTCCTAAAAACTTATCTCCATGCATGTGGCAGCAAGCACAGAAAAATATCATCTAATTCTTCTACAAAAAGGAAAAAAAGGAATAATAAATACAACTCAACCCACAAAAGGTTTCCACTTCACAAGAATATGTTAATACTCTTGATCTAAAATATTTTTAACAATCACTATAAGCCACTGTCAGATCACAGCTGAAACAAAATGCCCTGAATGAGAGCAAGCAACAGGAAAAAAAACCCTTTAAAAACCCTGAATAGCTGGCATGCTTTTAGGAAGCCTGCAATCTTGTTGCTCTGATAGCATTCCAATGCTTTTGTTAATTTCACTTTAGTACACTATGAGCTCATGGATAGCAGTCCCTGGGTGGTGCAAATAGTTAAGCACTCTACTCCTAGCCAAAGGGTTGGCAGTTCAAACTCACCCAGTGGCACCTCAGAAGACAGGCCTGGCGATCTGCTTCCATAGGTCACAGCTCTGAAAACCTATGGAGCTGCTCTACTCTGCACACGAGTCGGAATCAACTCAACAGCAACAACCTCACAGATGCAATTCTCAACAATTTCTTTAGAAATAATACCTTAATAGTACTTACTGCCTACCTGCCTAGCCCCTGGCCTTTTCCCATCAGCATTTAGACATGATCATCTCTCTTGCCTTAAAAAACCTTCTCTGAGACCCTGCTCCTGCTGCCACCCATCCACTCTGGTTCTTCTCCAACACACTTGGTCTTCTCCACAGTCTGGGTTCCCATTCACTGTCACGCCCACTGCAATCTGGATCCTGTTTCTACCACTCTCAATAAAACTGCTTATACAAAGGCTACCGCACTGTTTAGTCCTTACCTACCTTGGCTTCTCTGGAATTTTTGACTAGTTCCTCGAAATAATCCCTTCCCTTGGGTTTCATGATCCAACTCATTCCCAGTAGTTCTTCCGCCTTCTGCTCTTGCGAAACCTAATACTGAGGTTCCTCTGGGCTCCATGTGTGGTGCTGCCACACTTCCCTGAGAGAATCTCCTTCCCCCAGGCTTCAACATCATTCATGTGCTTTACAGGAGAAGCTAGTCTGGCGAGAATACGATGGAGGATTAAGCTTTGGATACTTTGAGGACCTCCAAGCGGCATCGTTCCATAGCTGGTTGGATTTAGAGGTTCAGAACTCAAGAAAGACGTGTGGAATAGAGTTCCCCATCTCAGCACATGGCACCCCCATCCACCTAACTCCCAAGAATTGTTGCAGTTATCTGTGGCTGCATTTCACATACCTAATCAATCCCTAAATTTCATGCGTTCTACCTTTTACCTGTTCACGAGAGAGCCGGTGAATCTGCCTACATCTCTCTCCCCACTGCCATCTCTTGGTCCAGGCTATTTCTTCAAATCTCACCAACCTTCCAACCCCTGCCCAGAGTCCACCTCCTTGTGAAGCTTTCTCTGCCCGTTATAAATTTTAGCAATCTCACCCCTTTTTTTCCTTCCGGACTCTATCTATATTTTTCATGTAGTATTAATTATCTACTACTTTTCATGGTTAGCTGATATTTGATGTGCATAAATCATTTATGCCTCAATAAGAGTTTGAGTTCTGTGAGGGGGAGAATGTGCATAACAACCTAGAAATTTTCACATAAATTATCTCATTTAGCCTACCTTGTATAGCAAGTTTTGAATGACAGGCAGGCACTCAAATATGTGCCACAGTTACTCAGTGATGTACATAAATCTTTGAGGGTATGGAATGTGCTTCACATTTCTTTGCATCCTCTGAAAACCACCAAAATACACCCTCAAGTACATAACAGTTGGTTGAAATTAATAATTATTCATTTAACTTTTAGGATAGTGTCTTCGTTTCAGATATAATGAAACTGCTAACGTTAAAAAAACTCTGAATCACTTGTATAAATACGAATACACTAGTGAGATATTCATAGGATAATTTTTTTTAAACCAAAGTCTTTTATCAGTTAAAAAAAAAATTTAATGATCTATTTTGAAGGCCACGGAAAATAATAAACCCTTCTCAGTACATGTTTGAGTGGTTTACTGAAAAAATTGACCTAAAATGGTGTTAGTCTGGTGATTGCAATATAAACACTATCTCGAACTGAAAAGTCAGGCTCACATTTCAAACTGTAGGAGGTAAAGCTACAGTTTCCAAAATGTACTAGATCCATTTCTC